TGACTCAGAGCACAAGCAGCCTATTAAACAACAGATGATTCAGCACTCAGTGCCTACATTTCTCCTGGCTGGTTTTCATCAGCAACCAGACTGCAGCTTTGAAGGTGTATCATTTATTTGATACCATCAGACACCTGAAGAGGCACACAGGTGTCAAGTCCCTCCATCTCCAAACCAGCACAAGTTTCAGGCAATACAGCTCCCAAACTTTCCTCTTCACTACATCTTTATAACCACATTCCCCACAAAAATCCCAACTGTAACAGTCTGCTGCTTTCTTCAGGTCTTTCAGAAACAGACCATGCACAGAAAAGGGTCAAAAACAAGACCTTGGATCACAGAGAAAGGAAGACTGGTAACACGTCCTGGGCAGAGGGAAGGCAAACTCCACATTTCATGCTCAGGAGAGGAGAGCAGGATTTCAGTCCCATGAAAACCATCCGTGCACAAAACATTGCTGGATCCGTCCCCTCCCTGCTCCCAACAATCCCTCCCGATGGCCACTAATCTCATTAGAGTTCCTATAATTAAAGCACCATAATATCTGATTGAGAATATAGTATGCTGTTTAAATTAACTCATCCAAAGTCCTTTAATGCAAGAATGACTGCTCCAAGAGAATTACAAGATTTGCAAAATAAAGCGTCGCTAATGAGCATACAATCAAAACTGGATTATCTAGTTTCGTAATTTGCATGCAGAAAAAGCAGGCAAGCAAACCACCAAGGTTTCTATAAAACTTTTACAACCACTTTATGGGAAAAGTGAAATGAGTACAGATACAACTACATATATATAGCTTCAAATATTTATTAGAAAACATATTGTACTTTAGAGGTATTAGGAAACAGCAGATGTTAATTTGGTCTAGTCAATACTTGCTAAAAAGTGAGGAGTGATATTGTTGTTCTGAATAGCACTTGTCAGGTTTACCAATTAGGGAGATAAGAAAACAAACCTTAGCCTCTTTACCAGTCTGGGATGAGTTAAATACAAAAACCTAGTTAAACTTGGTCTTCTCCAGTCCAAATTTTTCCCATACCTATTTGTTTATTTTTAAATAGTATTTCCAAACAAACCCCAACACTGCCACACAAATGGATGAAAAGCAAAGCCAGGCTCAAATACTCTCTCTGACTCAGACATACAAGCAGTGGGGAGAGGTTAGGAAGTGAATCACTCATTAAGCAAACCTATGCATGCACACAGCTTCTGGAATAACCCGGGTTTGGTGTTATGTTAAATGGAGAGGAAGATGGGAAGTGAAGGAGATGTGAATGCAATATTACATCTGTGAGACTGAGCACCCCAGTTCTCCCTCGTGCCATCCCCAGTTTGGATGCTGGATGGACAAGCACAGAAGTCCACAGCTCCCAGCCGAAAAAGAAACTTCTTCCACCCTTCTGACCCCGACCTCACTCGGCACATACCTGAGAGCCTATGGAGATGGCCTCTGTGAGCACCCCGGTCCTGGAACAGTACTGACACTCCAACCATTCACACTTTTCAGCCTCATCTGTTTTACATTCTTGATTAAGCTTAACAACAAAGAACAGCTTTGGGATGCATTGATACCTGGAGATGAGGCTCTGTGGGACCCACAGCAGCTCTCGAGGTGCAAGAGCCACAACGTCTTTCATGTCAACCCATTACCCATACCTGCTCATCCATCAGTTTCTCTGGGTCCAAGAGAATTTAGTCATAGAAGTTTTTTAGTAAATGGTAGATAACCTGGTTGTAGTCAGACCCTGAAAACCCCTGAGGGGTCTGTGAGTATTATGCCAGGAGAAAGAACCGCTAAATTGCTGCAGAGGTAAAGTTACGCAATTCACCAGAAGTCAGGCTCCAGATCAGCCTGAGCACTCCAGGCTTGCCTGCTAAGCTTCTGCACCAGTCATTAAATCTTTCAAAGGGATTATGCAGCAAGGTGCCGGTGATAAGAGAGACTGGATTTGACCTCTAAGGACCTTCCAATGCGACATTGCTAAATCAATTACCCTCATTTTCCAGCATGCCTTTAACATTATGAGTGAACCCTACAGTTGGAGTATTTTCATCTGGATAATCTTTTCAACAATGTCTAAAACTTTAGCTGATTTTTTGATCTATAAAGGGCTCCAAGGCAGAAGTTTAGATGCTGTTATATGTTTGCATAGAAGAGGGCAGAGTGCCTTAAACAGGGTTTTTCCTTTGCTACTCCATTAAACATCATGTCAGAAAACACAAAGAAACCATCATTAAGAATCCAGATTTCTTCAGTGAGAAAACACACACACACATTAAAGACAACAGGGATTACTTTATGCATTATACTTCTGTTCTTGCCAACATATTCCACATCTTCAGCATGAAAGACCGCTCCTCCAGAGACAGAGAGTCAGTCACTGTCCTCTCAGACAAAGGGCATAGATTGCTACTTCTCCGGCAAGGAAACCAGATCTAAACAATGCATACTGCTGCTCGGGGTTTTGTTTTTCGGTTGGTTTTGATTGATTTCAATTTCAGATACATTCCTAAGTCAAGCTGACTGCAACCAAACTGAAAATCTGTTAAAATTTCCACATTGAAACAGCTTTTCAACATTTACTCCATTTGAACTTTTGGAAAATTTTCTTTTTTTCCTTTTCTACACCAAGTGCTAAGTCTCAAAGATGAAAGGCGGCTTTATTTCTGTTCTGTACTCCCTTTCCACTCATCCTCCCCAGAAACTCCTCTAACACAACTGACACGGAGAAGCCTTTTCTCTCTTCTCAGGATGAGTCACAGGGTTCTTCCACGGCACAAAGGAAAGATACATCACTTCTTGTTCTTCTCAAAGAAATATCGCTTTCTTGTTCTTTTCAGAAAAAGAAGACAAGGGAAGAACACGTTGGACTGTTGAGGGTATTCTGTTTCCTTTTTTCCTGAACAAATTTATCAAGCAACTAAAATTCTGCCTGCTCATAGCAGCCCACATAACTGCCCTGTGACTCTCCCTCCTCAAGATCAGCATCCCTGCCACAGACGTCCCCTCCTCCACGTTTGTATCCCTGCCCCATCTTTTATGTACAGGAGTAAGTATCCACATGGCTATCTGCCAGGCAGACCTTTTAATAGCTGCTAGGATAAACTTTGCAGAGTACTCATCAATAGTAGCACCTTCCTTCAAGAGGGCATCCTTGCATATGCATCCAACAGCTGCTCAATGCTCAACCCACTTTATGGGGCACAGAGCTGGTTTACAGGCTGACCAGCTGTTTCAGCCACCAAGCTGCTGGATCATCCTCCAAGAGTCCACCCTAAACCAGGCAGAAGTGTTCTTCATTGTGGCTTTAGCTACCAGATCACACAGCTTCCATTAGATCACATTAAGCTGCAGGCACCTGCAGAAGCCAGAGTAGACCACCCTGACATCACACCGCTTTGCAATTTTCAGCTTCAAAGCAAGACAATATTCTGACACATGACCTCAGTGGGAAATACAAAGGTGGCACAAATATGCACTGGCCATATACTCTAAAAACTTACTGAGAGTTTCCAGTCCACCACTTAACTACAAACCAAAGTATTCTGGGCTCTGTGCACAAAGTCTTCAGAAGGCTTATCAAGTGTTCCTGAGATTCAATGTTACAGGAGACAAAGCACAACTCTGCTTCTCCTATCCATCAGTTCCCATGTTAAGCTCTTTCCTGTTATCTACACATAATGAAGGCAGTCCATAAAAACACTACTGAGTTTACTACTAGCCAGAACAAACACTACCAGAACTAGTAAATGCTACGTAGGCTACAAACGCCTGGAGAGGAGCACACGCTTCACTTCGGCCAACACCTGCAATTTCCAAGCAGTGAAATGTTCCCTTGTCAGAACAGCCCAACAACTATTTATAGTGCGTGGAGGTAACTGCAGCCATCCATTTCGGCCCCATGCATGCAGTTCAGCGGGGAGCACAGACTGCCCCCCAGCACGGCTCCCAGCCCCAACAGGTGTAGAAGCTCAATCTACCACCAAAGGAGCATGTCTTCATTGAGCACATCCCAAACGTTTCTGTTGGGTAAAAACATAAAGGTGGTAAACAAAGGGTTTATTTGGTTCTGTTTTGTCCACATACCCATACTTCTCCCATCAGTCTTTGGATTTAAGGCATGAAAACAATGCACAAGTGTTTTGTGATGCTAAACTAGATACTAAAAACACCAGCAAAGACACAGCTTTGCTTTCAAGCTGCTGATTTTGGTTTGAAACAGCAATTCTGACAAAACAGTGATGAAGATGTAAGCAGCCTATCATGAGTAGCTACCTATCCAGGATGAGTAGCTATCTGCCCAGCATGGAAAAGTTGTGTTAGGTTGGATTTTATCCACCAAAGAAGTTCTTTTTTACTGCTGTAACTGTGACTTTTCACAAATAGTCACACAGACACCCCCCCCTTCATTATTTTAATCTTACATAATCGGTGTAACACCAAATGGGATGGATGTATTCTCAGAGGACCAGGCCAAGCGGCTGCACAGTCCATCAAGGTCACGCCGTACGCCCACAAGCACAGGCGCAGAGCGGTGCGAGGGGCTGCGGGATGGCAGCCAGCATCCCCAGCTCCTAACTCCAGGAGTCACCTTACAGGCAGCTGCTAACGTTCCCAAACTTTGCTCCTTACCATTTTTTGCGCTCCTCTTTAAAGGAAGCTGGTAACAGCAAGAGTTTGAAAATTCAAAGATAAGAGTCTTTTATCGAAACCGACTAACCCGACAGGATGCGTAACAACGCACAAACACACACTTGGGAACAAATGGCCATTAAACCAGCAGCTCACACGCCGGTGGCTGCCAGACCCGTTCCGTACGGGATGGGAAAGATCCCTACCCCGCACCCCGCGGAGTCAACCCGCACAAGTCGTGGAGCCGGAGCAATGTCTTGGTCGCCACCGGCAGCACGACGGGCTGGGGCTGCAACGGCATCATTAAACAGCTTCTCCCTCCACCGCCCCCTCCTTCCCCAGCACGGCTTAGCAGCGCCCGTACCTGAGAGCTAAGGTACCGCTTGAGGCACTCCTCGCAGACCGCCTTCTTGCAGCAGGACAGGGGCTTGATAGGCTTCTCCTCCAGGCACACTCGGCAGCTCAGCACCAGCAGCGGCCCGAACTCCCCTGCGATCAGCCCGGAGAAGGGCTCGGGCAGCAGGTACAAGTCCACCACCT